CAGAGACAACACCAGAAAGACTCCATAGCCCAGTGGTTAGGATAGTCAAGTGGGAGACATGAGTTCAAATAAGATGCTGTGGCCAAAAGAGCTAATGTGCTCCTTGGCGGCACAAACAGGGGAAGCTCAAGTAGGAGGAGAGGTTATTTTGGCTGTATTTGGCACTGGTGCAACTGCTGCTGGAATATGGTGTCCAGTTCGGGTGCCCACAATTCAAGACGGATGTTGGTACTCTGGAGGGGTACAGCGCAGAGCCTCAAGAAAGAGTAAAGGATCAGAAAACATGCCTTATAAAGATAGACGCAGGGAGCTCAATCTGTGCAGTTTAACAAAGAGAAGCTCAACGGGTGACTTGATTACAGTCTATAAGTATCTACACGTAGAGCAATGTATAACATGATGCACGGGCTGGAAGTTGCAGCTAGACAAATTCAGTGGAAATAAGGCATAAAATGTTAATTGGGAGACCAATTTACCTTGGTTTTGTGGTGGATTCGCCATCACTGACCATTTTAAAATCAAGATTGCATGTTTTGCTAAAAGATCTGCACTAGGAATTATTTTGAGGCAGTTCTGTGGCCTGTGTATACAGGTCAGCTTTGATGAGCACAGGTGTCCCTTCTGCCCTTGGAATCTGTGCATATATGAATCACTGCTCTGTATCAGGCAGAGAGAGGATTTAGACGCGGGTCTCCTACATCCTGTCTGTTTGCTGTAAGTGTGCGTCTGTGTGAGGGGGGTGTCTGCGAGCGTGGGTCGGTCGCTCACCTCCTCCTGCAGCAGTGGTTTGTGTGGGGCCCGTTCTGTTAGCAAGACAGGTGAAGCTTGAGGTTCCTTCTGACACACAGGCCATGTGCGCACTACGACGACGTTCAGTAGCAAGGCAAAGGCTATATCTATGCTCCCACTTATATCGGTGCACGTTATGTCACTCAGGGGTGCAACTAAGCCCCCCCCCCACCACTGAGCGATGTAAGTTACACCAACCTAAACACCAGTGCGGACAGCGCTATATTGGTGGGAGAGCTTCTCCCGCTGACATAGCTACCGCCACTCAGAGGGACTGAAACAATTAAGTAGCCGGGCGAGCTCTCTGCACTAAGTGCTACAACGGCACCTCTGCATGGGTAGCGTGGCGCTGCTGTACACTCTGTAGTGTAGCCATAGCCATAGGTGTGATCTAGGCTCTGAACGTTAGGACTGACACAGCTATTCACATGCTCACTGGCAGATTTTGCGGGAGGGGGAGAGGAAAGGGGGGACGGTCTTTATCAGTGGAGATTTAGTTGACTTAGTTGCCCAGGGATTTTAAGCCCCTATGGGGTTAGGCAGCAGCTGAGCAGGGTTTTTGAGGAGCTATATGTTGGACCTAGGTGCCTAAAGTGGCAGTTAGGAGCCTAAATCCCTTTGTGAATCTAGCCCCATATGAATTTCTTAGAAATGCAGATAAATTTGAACCTCTAGCAAAAACTAGCATTCTCAGCTAGACTGGCCATTGGGCCATGCAAAAGCTGTGATGTGATAATTGAATATTTCACATCGGCCGGCAGAGAATACTAAGAAAACAAACTGAATTATGGTCTCAATGAAGTTTCTACAACATTTGACCTCTAAGGGCTTGTCTACACTACCGGCCGGATCGGCGGGCAGTGATCAATCCAGCGGGGGACGATTTATCACAGCTAGTATAGACGCGATATATCGACTGCTGAGCTCTCTCCCGTCGACTCCGGTACTCCACCAGAACGAAGAGCGCAAGTGGAGTCGATGGGAGAGTGTTAGCTGTTGACTTACCGCAGTGAAGACACCGCGGTAAGTAGATCTAAGTACATCGACTTCAGCTATGCTATTCACATAGCTGAAGTTGCGTATCTTAGATCAACCCTGCGCGGTAGTGTAGACAAGCCCTTAGCCGTCACTTAAGAGCATATCAAGCAAGGCTGAATAACAACAATAGCATTTAAAGAATCACTAACTTTGACACCGACACCCTGTTTAACGAGGAAAGGCTGGGGGCTGGTAATGGGATACTGTGCCTTTTATCTTTTGGTCTCCAGTTCAAACCTAGCACCTGACAGACAGTTATTTTGATGACTGTCTGGTGGCCAGGGTGAAATGCGCCCAAGTGAGGTCACAGTCAGTTCCTAGTGAAATACATATTTGATTTGTATTTCCCAGAGGGTTCAGTCATGATCAGATCCCCATCATGCGGGATGCTGTTCAAACATATAGGACAACACAGTCCCTGGCTTAAAGAGCTTCTCCTAGTCTAGGCATTTATAAACTATGTCACCAAAAACACTATCACAACTGGCATCCCTTTTCCAGGGCTGAGTCATTGAAAAGGCTGGGAACTGAGAGGGCCTAGAGACTGAATATCTCCTCACCCAGGGATGGTGGCTAGAAGGAAGCCTGCACCGCTAAGTCTCATGTTGTACCTGTCTGGACTTCAGGCATCAGGATTCTGCCGCTTTTCACCAGGACTAATGTTGAGCTTCAAATGCTTGTTGGTGCCAAATTCCCTTTCAAAGAAAGCAGTGATTGGCCCTCGCAGCTGTAACCAAGCCGCTGCCAGACAGGATCAGCTCAGCAGCCAAACATGGTACATGCTGTTAATCAGAAATTGCCCTAACATGGAACAGGATTTTCCCAGAGCCCTGAAATGTGACAACCCCACCATAATTTTCTTTCCTAGCTCCATGCATTGCCTTCCCTGAAAGCTGCCCTGCTACCTTTAGCAGCACAATCCATACTGTGCCTTCAATTTACCCCCCAGCTTGTCCTCCCTTCTCTTTACACACCCAAGTGACATAACCCCCCCATCCACAATGATTCAATACCCTCTCAATACGCCTGTCCTCCTGCTGAAGCCTGAAAGTGCCCTAATGCCTGACCCAATACCCCATTGCTGCTGGCAATTCTGTCCAGGCCCACTCCCATTCCATTAACCTGAATGCCCGCTGAGCCACGGGCTGAGATGGGAACTGGCAGAAAGAGATTGGACAGTGTATAGCTAAGGGTAGCAGGGATGGTTTCTAGCAGTAGGGAGATGGGCCAGGGTGAGTCACCCTCCAGCCAAGTGTCACAACGTGTTTCCCATTGGCCCTAAACCCATCCTGGTGGCCAGACATGGTTCACCTGCTTCCCAAGTTCTTAGAACATGAGGCATCCAGCTGCCATCCACCGGAAACTGGCCAGTATCCCAAGGTTTGCCTCAGTTTTATCAGCCTCACTGCCCTGCCACGTCGCAGTCAAATGTGACTCAGCCCTTCTTCCCGGAGGTACTAAGGCTGAGTTACTATGCGAACTGTTGTGTGTGGCTCTCTCAGCAGAGCCCTTAAAAATGGAACGGCCTGCCTGCTTAGCATGACCCTTAAAATGACAGAACACTGTCCACGACAGTAGCCATCATGCCAGTGTCTTTGACTAAAATTTCCCATCCCCTTCACAGCCCAGGGTTCTCTGTGCTAGCTGGTGACTGCCCTCCAGCCCAGAGGGGGATGGATGCATTTTCATAGTACCACAGCTAGCCAGCGTGCAAGACTTTATGATAAAAGGTGTATTTACTAAACACTTGGCCCTGGAATTTTTTGGTCTCCACTTTTGGATACACATGTAAAAGTTTGTAATCTCTCCCCCCCCCCCCCCAACGTCTTCCCTGCACTCCTGTTGTAAAGCTTATAGCTAGTCTCACTGCTAAAACCTAGGGCCTGGATCCAATAAGTTAGTTACTGAACACTAGCCTTATGTACTTGCAGTACGAGGCACTCTGACACCCACCGTAACGCCACGCTCCAAGAGGTATCCCTTTGCTCCTTAGTTAACTGGCTAATCATAGAGCATACCGGTCCGCCTGCTTTTCAGTGGGAATTGCACAATGCAATGGAGGGCGGATGGAGCATGTTTTTTCTCCCCGTAATGGCTGACACGTTGCCAAGTTGTGACCACTACGAGAAGCGCATGGTACAGTGCTTAGGGCACTGAGAACTTGGGAGACCAGATTCAAGACCCTTGCTCTTCTATAGCCTTCCTGGGTGACCGAGGGCACGTCCCCGAGCCTCTCTGGGTCTCAGGTTCCCCTCTGTAAACTGGGGAATGACAGCACCTTCTACCTCACACTAGTGTTTTGAGGATAAATACATGAAAGAGCATGAGGTGCTCAGAAACTACAGTAATTGGCAGAGGGCTCATATGCCCACTGAGGTGGGAAAGAGGCAAAGTTCCTGATCTCCAAGTGTCTGGGCTGGGTGGATGGGCTTGGGGGTGTAGCCAGTTGTCCCCTATCTTTGCCCTATTCCCCCTCTTCTCCCCAGCCTGGTCATGTGCTCTGCCTCCCATTCTGTCCAGATTCTGCTCCCACTCACTGGGAAGCAGAGTGGGGTAGTAGCAGCACTAACCAGCGGCAGCTGAGGCCAGCATTGGAAGAAATCCAGCATGTTGCTGGCAACACTGAAGATCAGATGAAGTGACTTGTCCAAAATCACACACAAAGTTTTCAGATGAGCCAGGAATTGATGTCCCATCTCCTGAGTCCCCAACCTGCCAACACTCCCTCCGAAACCTGACTCCTTGAGCAGCGCCCATATTGTGAGAGTCATTCCCCCCTTAGTTAAATAGTAATGTCTGCTAGATCCCATAGTTGGGTACTTAGACCCAGCTCCAGGTAGGCTTTTTTCCCCCCCATCTACCCCACCCCCACCCATAAAAGAGTCACTCTGCACAATGTCAGCTCAAGTGTACATTTTTATTTTTTAATGGAACATAAACTCCTTTAGAAAAAACATTCATCTGGATGATAACACCCATAGAAAAAAACACCAATCTCGTGTTTTTTGTTTTTTTTTTTAATTTGGCATTTGTTATTTGCATTTATATTAAAGCAAAGTGCATCTTTCTTATTTTTCTCGTTTATACACATTGCACAATACATAAATAATGATGCTTATAAAAGTCTTTATATTTACAAGTAATAATATATTTATATATAACATAAAATACATTTTTTCTTTAATAAATCTCAAGGGTTTTTTTTGAAGGAGTCCTTTTTTTTTTTTTCATTTTCTTTTGTTTTATTTCCAAAGCACTACAATGCTAAAGTTCCAATGAGAATGCTTCTCTTGTTCATTTAAACCTTTATATTTAGAAAAATAGCTTATGTTAAGGTCTAAACATGCTCATTGAGCTAAGAACAGTGTAAAAGTATCATACTAGCGTATGAATTCAAGAAGAAATGAAAGAGCGACTGCATTTCTGGATACGACGGGTACCGCTCTAACCTGATCACGGCAGGTTACGATGGACCAAAGATCATGAATACATTCCCCACCCCCCGCATTTTTTTGTTGTTTGTTTGCTTTCCTTTTGTAGGCTTATGTTTTCTCACCAAGGTTGCATCTCAGCTCAAATTGAAAAGCATGGGCCATGCATGTTTTTTTTCCTCATAGTATCAATAAAACAATAAAAGCACTCAAAGTGTGGGCATGCGTCTTCCAAAACCCATGCTGCCACCATGGACTGTTGGCATAACAGTGACAAGACGTGATCTTTAAATAAAGCAACAAGCATACGTGAAAGAAGAAGAAGAAGGGGGGAAAAAAAGGAGCAAAGAACTGAACGATACGGTTTCACTTTGCTGCGTTGGCTCCTGATGCCTCCTGGGTGCACCGGCACATACATTTGTTCTGTCAGGGACAATGCAGGGTGGTCGCCACTGAGGGGGAACTTGGCTTACCATCACAGGAGTGAAGGTGCTGAGCTTCAACAAGTAGCAGCGGGAATGTGCCACGGCTCTAGGCAGAAGCTGCAGCAAGACAGCCCAGTGTGTGTGCGCACTCAGCAGGACCAGGGGGACGACGAGACGTCTGGCAGCAGAAGACCTCTGGTGTGTCAAAAACATATGTATAAACCCTTTTTATGAGGGAGCTGTAACAAACAGCGTGTGACTGAATTCCACCAATCGCTTGGGGTAATAATTTCAGAGGCATTAAATGATTATTTTATGTAATCCCCTCCCACACCTTCTCCTCCCCCTTCTGAGTTATTGGTCATTCACACATTAAAAAAAATATATATTTATCAAAATACCAAGGCAAAAATCTTTCCATAAGCTATTTCTCAAAACAGGGGAGGGGGGGAAAAAACACAAAACACAAAAACAAACAAACAAACAAAAAAGTTTGCATGAAAAGCAAGCACTCAGAAGGAAATATTAGCAGCAAAGTAGTTATAATGTCATGAGTCCACTCTGTCTCAAGTCATCGGTTATTAAAAATAACCTCCAACCAGCATGGGCAACTGCTGATAAACTGTCTTGTGTAGCACTGGCCCCAGCCTTTCACAAAGCTGATCTGAACAGTAAATCCGGTCCATGGCTGCTGCATGAACTCATGGTCGTTAGGCCTCTGTAAGCTGTATGCCTTCTCATAGTCAAAAGCCTTGATGGAAAATCCTGGGAAAACTTTGTGAACCAGCAACGTCCTGGAGTCGGGGTTGTCCAGTGTGGCCGACTTGATAAAGATAGGGTAACTACTGCGGTTGTATACCCACACGCCGTCCACTTCCTTAGTCAGCTGGATGCCATAGCCAATTTTGCTGCGGACTTTCTGCACCAGCTGGCTTTTGTTGTCTGAATTGAGCTGTCCGAGGCAGAAGCCGTTCCCCTGAGGTAGATCATAGAAGATATCCAGGGAGGGCTCTTGGACAGAATACAGCCGGCCCACACGCGTTTTTTCTTCCCAGTATGCCACCACGCACCAGTGTGACCGATCCCCCGGCCCCTGAAGAACTTGGGAATCTATAGAGAGAGGGGGGGGAAAAAGAGAGAGATTTATTACAACAGAGATAAATAACCTTATAAATCCTGAGCACTTACAGATTACCCTCTTCCCATAGCTCTGACAATGCATTTCAATGACCTGTGATTATTATCATTATCCATAGCCAAGACCCGGAGCCTAAGTCCCATTGTCAAAAGCATGTAGGCCCATACTCTCAGAGGGCACCAGGGAAGTGAGGCACCTAAATACCTTTGAGGATTTTGCCTTAGGATCCTATGTCATAGGACTACTAGGCTCCTAAGTCACTCAGGTGCTTTTGAAAATTTTATCCTAAATGATTTTGCCAAAGTCATACAGTGAGCTTTTGGGAAAGCCAGGAACAGAACCTGACTCCCAGCTCTACTCTCAGTCTCTTTGGGGCAGATTTTCAAATGAATTTAGGCACTTTGTGCAGATGAAAAACTGGCCTTTTAACCATAAAGAGAGATTAAGAGAGAGATCTACACCCAGAGTTGTACTAATATGACCATTTTGGGTGCAATTTTTTACTGAAACAGTTATAACAGTAGAAATTGGATATTTCAGTTATACCAGTATGAAGGTTCCTTACACTGATATAGCTTATTCCACTTCCTGAACAGGAATAAACTACATTGGTATAAGTCCCTTTATATCAGTGTTACTGCATCTACATGAGTGGACTGTATCTCTTCAACTATGCTGATATAGTTTAAAGTGCCATAATTTTTGTGTGTAGACAGGCCCATGGAAAGAGAGGCCTGACTTAGTGGTTTAAATACAGGGGTGGGCGCCAATTAACTCTTGCCATTATAATCTGTGCTCCAATTCCCATGTCCTCTGCAGCCTTGCTAGTAGCTGGTCTTTTCTGCCTCAGTTTCCTCAGCTCTAAAACGAGGGTGAAATATTCCACCTTGCAGGGGTGTTGTAGGCAGTAGTTAGCTGATGTCCATGGGTCTGTCTTCACTGCAGCTATCCCAGACTCTTACTAAGGTGCTGCCCCTAATCCCCCCTGCTCCAGCCACACACACAAAAATCTCTCACCCGAGTGCAGTGATACCTTACTTTCACTTGGGCTGATAACTCACCCACTTTGCAGTGAGGACACAGGTTAAAACCACTCATGTGCTGATAGTCCTCCAATGCCTTCCCACAATTCACTGGGAAAGAATCACAGAGCTGCTCGATTTACTGCAGCACAGAGAAGCATAGGATGTGCCCCCAGATGTCCTAGCGAGACATGCGGGTGAGTGCAGCACCAGTGAAGACACGGTAACTCGGGGATGACCCTGCAGGCATCTAGGCCAGGCTAACCTGAGTACTCAGCTCACACTGCCTATCACCTGAGTTAACTCTGCAGTGAAGACATACCCCGTGAAATGCTCTGGGAGATGAAAACTGCTGCGCACCTACAGTAACTGATTTCTTCCCCACCCTCAAACCCTCATTGCAGCGAATCAATTTAAGCAACAGTAAATCAATGTGGATAACATAATACTGGAGCTGCTAATCAGCCGCAGAGATTTTTTTTCTATGTGAAGTGTGGGTAAACCAGGATGAGGGCTAAGGTACCCACAGCCTCACACACTCCATAGATCACTTTGCTTTCAAAGGCTTTAAGCCTAGACAAGCTTTGTTGATATATAATTTTTCCCCCCAAAAGGGGAGCCATAAAAGGCAAGTTAAACATTGCTCAACAGGAATGGAGGGCACAACAGATCATCTGCTATAATTTACAGAGCCTATTTACGCCTATAGCTGGAACCCTGGTAATAAATGCTACGATTCAGACGTCAGATGAACTATAAATCTGACTGAACTGCAGTTAGACTGTGGTTTGTGGTGGCAGGGTGGAGACCGGAAGTCTTGCATTTGTTAACAAAAAAGAAAAAAAAGAAAAGGAAAAAAAAAGTCAGTTCTTTTAGACCTTCCCTCCTCTTTCAATCTATCCCTCCTGCTAGCAGCTAAGCCACAGTTGCTGCTACTGGGATTGAGATGGGATGAAAGGACAGAAAAGGAAGGGGAAATGGGGGGTATCTTATGACTCTCATAACAGCACTAGCTAGGTCCATCAGCTCTGTGCTGCTTCACTAATATCTTTCCAGCTTTTATAGATATGTTAAGACCTGGAACCTATTAATCTCTAATATTTTATTTAAACAAAAAACAAACAAACAAAAAGCAAGTTCAGAGCTGAAATCTAGAAAATAATATTACTTTCCCAAAATAAATCTACACACACACGTAAAGATCTCTTACATACAACATAAGAATGGCCATACTGGGTCAGACCGAAGTTCCATCTAGCTCAGTATCCTGTCTTCCAACAGTGGCCAATGCCAGGTTGGAATAGCCATTGATAGACCTATCCTCCATGAATTCATCAAGTTATTGTTTGAACTCTGTTACAGTCTTGGACTTCACAACATCCTCTGGCAAAGAGTTCCACAGGTTGATTGTGCATTGTGTGACGAAATACTTCTTTTTGTTTGTTTTAAATCCGCTGCCTATTAATTTAGTTTGGTGACCACTAGTTCTTCTGTTATGAGGAATAAATAACATTTCCTTATTTATTCTCTTAAAACTACAACATCCCCTAAACCCATTCCACTGCTAGTGATACAATGCCTGATAGTTCTTCCGAACAAACAAGCGCCTTAATATAGCACAATAAAATCCTGAAGAAAGAATGACAGAAGGAGAGTAGAGTGGCTAAATTAGCCAGTCCAGTTGCTGTATTTTCTCTGCTTTTTACTGACTATTAATATGCCTGTTTCCCCAACACAGGCATTTTTAAGTCTTTGGAGTCTGTTTAGAGTACAGTACTGTGCTTTTAAAAAATAAATCCAGCCACACACTTTTAATTTCCTCACTTCTATGCCAGCGAGGAAAATATTTCTCCAGTTGCTGGAAGCAGCTACTAAAAATGGGCCCAACTGCACATGTTTGGAAACTAGAAGGGTAAGTTGTTGTTAACCTACTCACTAAAAACATGATTGGGGGGCGGAGGGCTGGAACTGTTGGTGCAATGCACTTATGGGGCTATGTAAAAGGGAAACAGCCTTGCGAGTCTACAGGCTTCATTCTGCCTACTTTTAGGTGTGCCCCGATGGGTCTTTCAACCTCCCCCTTTGGTGCCTCACAATACTTTGTTTCATCTAACTCAATCCACTGAAACCTGGCACCAAATAAGCAGCAAGCAGAGGAAAAAAAGCTGAGTGAGAGAAGGGGCGGGGGAAGAGGAGGTCGTAGTGGGGTTGGGAAGAACTGAGCCGGGTATCAAATTACCTTTACCCTAACCTTCTGCAACTACCTCAGCGTAGTACTACCGCATTTCTGGGGGGAATGAGTCTGTGAAAGTCACACTCCACTACTGTCCTGTGTGAAGAGACAGGAAAAGCAGTCTCTCCCCATGAAGGAAAAATTAAACGGGGGACGGGGGGGAGGGAAGAGAGAGAGGAAATTGCGCGGGAGGAGTAAAAAGAACCAGGAAACGTATCTGGGTAGAAGGCCCTTACACCCTATTGCGTGAAAGAAAATCCCTCAGACTGCATTCTTCCCTTTCATCTTCCCAGCCCGCCAGTCCACCCAGCAATTTTCAGACAGACGTCAGTGAAAGAAGTTTTCAGATTATGTTAATTGCTTAGCCCAGATAAATTGCAGGCTGTGTGTGTCTCTCTCTCCCTCCCCTCTCCTCTGCACGGGCCTTAAAGCGAAATCTCACGGCACAGACAGGATGTAGAGTTCTCTTTCCACAGACTTCCTAGATCCTGCTCTTCTTTTTACAACAATGCCTTGTGGTGTTGCCTTAAGGGCCAGACTCTACCATCCCTACCCAGGCTGCAGGAATTTTGCCTGAGTAAAGACAGTAGATTAGGTTAATCACAGAACAGTTCATGGAACTTGTGCAAATCTGAAAGTAACTTGGTTGAAGACCAGATTCTGATCACTGAAACGGATTCTGTTGTAAAACCATGTTAGATCAGAATTAGGTCCCATGGATTTCACTCCAGATTTATATTGGTGTAACAGAGGTGAGAATCCAGCCTCCTACACATTTCTGAGCACATGGGTTTTTTTAATTATTATTTTTTTGTATGTGTATACTTTTAAAAAAAAGATATTTAACTAACTGTTTTTTTTAAGAGTCAGGAAAGGAAAGCCATATTGTAAAAAAACCAAACCCCAAACTGTAACTTGTCAGATACGTGGAGTTCACAATTTTTGTTTTACTCCAGTTAAGGGGATTTTGGAATAACAAGCATTGAACATGCTGAATCTCACTGAAATTCCTTTAAGTTTTTATTTTCTTTAACATAAAAAAATCACCCCTTTCAGGAGGAGGGGGAAAAAAGGGCTATTTCACCTCATGTTTGCACTTGCATTAGTGAAGACCACTTAACAAGTAGCTCATTGCCACTTACAAAGAGTTATTTAATTGCCAGCGCATAAAAAAAGAGCGGCCCTGGCTATGAATGAACGGCCCTTTATAGAAGACTGGAAGTTCATGAATGAATCCCACTAGGCTTTTCAATGACATGGGGTGACCAGACCTCGAGGACAAGCTTTGGGTAATCAGGATTTTTTTTTTAACGAGTTAGTGCCAAAACACAGTATAAACATGTCAAAGTGTCTTCCGTTTGAGGGACTATGCTGTTGACTGGATGTCTACCCCTGAAGCCATGAGAATATATAGGTAGTGCTCAGATAAACAGGATGTGTCCTTGCTGCTGGGCAAGTTACCAAATCACCAAAGATGCTCTTTCACAATTACGCTGTATGTAGCTGTGGGCTGATTTTTCGTCCCTTCCCCAAACTCTCTTGGGGCTGCTGCTAAAAGACAGTGTTTCTTGTTAGAAACTTAGGTCTGGCCTTTGGATGGTGTGGCCAAGAAAGGAGTGTGAAGGGGAGAGAAAAAAAAAAAGGCAGATTATGTGGAGAAGCTCACTAAAGGTTTTCACAGAAAGCTTCACTTATTCTGTGCATTGTGGCAGTGGCC